TAATTTTAGTAAAGGCAACAGAAAAATTACAATGACCAAAGATCTTGCGAAGTTTGTAAATAACATCTCCATTAAAATCATTTCTGAATCACTACTGAATTTTGAGATTAAATCAAAGTTACGATTGTAAAATTTTGTAAAATATTTACGTAATTTATATTAGCGGTAGCCCTGTTTGAATAGCTTGCTAGTAATGAAAATATTTTGCTTGTTAAAATCCTTCACGTTGCTAAAAGCTCTACCGAATCTAATTTACTGAGATACATATACCCCATCAGATGTTGCATGAGGTACGTCTCCATCTAAATCTGGATAGTTTACTATACAATAATGAAAGTCATCACTTTTATCATAGATTTTTGTGTGAATAGAATTGTTTTTGATAGTAATATGAAGAGCCAAAATAAAGTTTAAACGTAGTTTAATTAGCTCCCAATACTATCGGCAACTGAAATTTGCCGCGGTTGGCCGTAGGTTGTATACCATCTGAAGGTGAAGGTCTCTTGACGCCTTCGTAACCACGTACGAAGGCATCGTACTCAAAATACGACGTCGTGTACCTATCCTGTGACCTTCGCGTGTCCTGCTGGTAAACTACTTGGTACAAAATTGCAACTTTGTGGTGACTTCGTGTGTGTATCGGATGCCATCGCGTGACCTTCGGTAGGAATCGTGTGTGACTCGGATGCGATCGCGTGACCTTCTGTAGGAATCGTACTTGTTTCGGCTGTTAAGGGACTGTCGACCAATTTCGGGGCTATCTTCGCACGAAATTAAACATTCCATATTCGTATGCCTATCTGGTGTCAATTTCGGGACAGTGTGACGCCTGCATTATGATATACGGCGGTAGATGAAACGTCTTTCTGTGCTTCTGTTTACGAGTTTCTAAATTGTGTTTGTTTGTTTATCTTTTAAAAGGCCCAATAAGACTAAAATGCTATCATCTCTATGTTTCAAAAGCTTTTTCTTTTTTGTTTCAAGTTACAGTTGCCTGATAAAAGTTATTCATGAGCCATTGTTTTTTCTGTAATAAATGCATAAATGATTATATATTTTTTAATATTCTCTTTAGAGTGGTTTTTGTGTTCTCCTTATAGAATCAAACATAATGGTCTAAGTTGTACAAAATTCTCTATATATAAAAAAAGAATCTCGCCGGGATGTTTTCGATTGCCAATTTTCAACTCTCAGCACCTTAGATAAATGCATAGCTTTGTTTACCTCATCGTAAAACTGACAGCCGTTTTTCATTCACGGCTTATATACCTTAACATGTGACCGCACAATTTTGGATTTTGGAAGTCAAAACGAGAATCTCACCTCTGGCAATACTAAGTCCAAAGTCCTTCGGAGTAGGCGTCTGGACCTCCACTTCTACTGTAGACACGGTGACAAATTCATTACAGCCGAGACCATTTACTTACGAACGACTTTGCTTTTTGCAGGTTGTAGTTGTTAAATGTGTACATGAATATCATGTCAGTATTACTTGAATACCGAGACACTGATATGAGATTAGCAAACAATAGAATTGAGCAGATATATACTATATTGAATGAGACAGGTAATATAAAAAAGAGCGTTTTACAACCTCAGAAACACAATTACCAAAGGACTCGAATGAATCGGTTAATATCGACATTTGTCTTGGTTTTTAAGTCCGAAAGTAACTATACTTTGGACCGACTGCCTATCATTATACGTGATTCTTCCCTTTACGGTAACTTAAGACACATGTCGCTGAGTCTAGAAACATATATGCACAAATGGTCTCACAACCAAATAAATAATTTAGTTCATTAATTATTTTGATTATATGAAACAATTCGAGAAGGTATAGCATGGGCCATGTTTAAACGGAACGAAAGTTCGTTGACTGTAGATCAATTTTTACCTACATCTGTAGCTTTATGGAATCTTCTATCTTTAAACCGACATTTTACTTAAAAATATTATTTAAATTATATGAAGCATATAAAACTTGTTTCACAAGACAGATGTCCCTTGCGGATTCCCGGGTAACATAGGCCACCATACTTCAGCTTGTACCTTGATAATAAGTATCTGCTATTTGCGTCAAAATAAACCATTTCCTGGAGCTTTCTGTGAGCTTTTTTTTTAAAGTGGAATAATCCATGCATAAGCTAACAAGGAAGGTCTCTTTAACAGCACAGTAAGTCGAATAAAAATGGCTGTCTGAAATTTGCGACATCTGGTGTGGCGATTTGTTTGGGTTTTTTTCCGTAAAAGCCCAAATTTTTTCACTGCGACTTCGTTTGCTAGTTTATCACTTCTACGGATGTTTTTTTCTTCCGTAAAAAAGATGCTATTGTCAGAAGCTTATCGCGAGCCACTCATTGATCTACTTTCGTTGCTGATTGGCCTCTTTTCAACTGCAAAGAAACATGGCGTCAAATGTTTCAACGTATTTCCATAAAATAACCTTATCATTTTCGGACCCCACCGCGATTTACTTTCTTTATTAATACTTAATAGAGATATTCACCAGGATGAGACGTATTGCTCCACGCAGGATCCATGTTTGTAGTCTGGTACTTAAAATGTCTTTTGTCTCAGTTTTATTTCAGGCACTTGGGGTGTAGATTTGGAGGATCGAACATGTGACCCCATCCTAACTTAGTACTTGCTGTTTAAACCAAATAAATTACATTTTAATAAATTTCAGCACACTTATCATACAAACCATTAAAATTTAAAAACGTAGTTGAGCTAGTTTGAAAAAAATCACAAATCTATTTCTACCAGTTATAATACACAGTTGCTTATGGAAGATTGTTATAATTATAGGTACTAAAATTCTAGTTCTAGGTTCAAACAATTCTAGAGCACACAACGTGCTAAACTGCATTGAAAGATATATATAGGTTTCACAGAAAGAGTTGTGAAACTGGCCGGAGTCAATATCGCAGCAACGCTACGTATATATGTAACATCAGTGTCTATTCTAGGAGGGGGGATGGGGGATTCACTCATATCTTTCAGAATTCTTCCCTATTTTTTCAGAGGCAGGGAAAAGTTTTACATAGAGAAAGAAGGAAAAGGATAAACAAATCTAATGAATTCTCACTTTTGGATACCCCCCCCGCCCCTGTTTTTCGTTTTTCTAATCCTTGAATGTATATAAACGGGAACAATCCCATATTCATAGAGATGTGAGCAATTCTTTGCGACCTCCCCAAGGTCTTGTTTAAATTACAGACAATCATTCCAAACTACCGCCCAGCAATTGTGCTGTTGTTGTTATGTTCTAATCAAAATGAGATGAGATGAAGGTTTCTTGTGTTATCGCACAAGTGTGGAATGTGGAAGCCGGAAGAGAATAGGACTAAACTATGTCCATATCAGTTGAACCCAAAGTGTCTACACAACTATTTTCCCAAGATAATAAAATATATCACTACCGTTTAAATGATTCTTTATTCTGATTAGAGGCGGAATTGAAATTAAAGTGAGGTATTGCATGTTCTGGGGATCCATCGTCGTCGTATCTATTTATTCTTAACAACAGAAAACACAAGACATACAATAATAGTGACCCTAATCTCGTCAGTGTTAAAATCACGCGATAGCAACGTACATGAAGTTGAAAGTAAACAAAATAAGTTATTGTTTGTATTTTCTTTCTTTTTTGTTTTATTAGTTTCCATCACGACTCAATATCTTTTAGGGATACTTTCAACAAACTTCTTTTATCTCTCCGCATCTTTAAAAGTGTCAAAAAAAGAAAATAGTTTTTAAAGGAAGTTAATGCTACAAAAGAAAAACATTAAAAACAAAAAAGCCGCGTGACCGTTGAAAATTATTATTGTATACATATTCACCGTACATTTGTTCATCGTTTACATTCTAAATATATTATATAGAACAAGACACACGACCAAAATCAAAATAACTAAGAAGAATTATGAAAAGATTTGTGTTTATTGTGGGAATAATACTGCTTGCAGGCGTTCACTTCTATACGGCACAGGAGCCAAAATGCGGATCAAACTTTGGTTTTAATTATGAAATTCTCCAAAAGATATTACTGTTGGAACAAGAGATCACTGATCTTAAAATAGACAACAGAAGACAACAAAAAATTATTGATAGAATGGACGTAGACGGTACGTAGTGATTTAAGTTATCGTTAATTGTAATTATATACATTTTTATCATTTAACATACAAATTATGTAGATCGTACATAATAAATTGTCAACAGAAATATGATAATAAAACATAATTGCGATGACGTACTAGTTTAAACACATTTTTTTTGATAATATAACAAACAAAATTAACCAGAACTAGATATTGATATTGTATAGTACGTAATTATAGCTTTTAAACATTTTCAAAATGAAAAAAATCCGAATTAAATACAACATGCAATTGGTTTTAAATGAGTTAAAGGGATTCCGCCGGGTTTGTTTTTTTACATGACTGGACTGCTGGGAATAATTTTTCGAGCTTAATGTTCCATTCGATGTAGGTTGCACCCCTTATCACTCACTCAAATCCGGACTAAAATTGCAGAATTTTCGGTTTTCTGTTCCCAAGCTAATCTATGTAAGAAAATTCAAATTTTATGATTTTAGATGGAGTTTTTTTTAATTCTTTAAATTTTGCAATTTAACATTATTATGGTAAAAGTTCCTCTCCGCTACATAGCGATATAAAATATCAGATCAGTCAACAGTTCTCTGCATGGAATGACAATATGTCCGGTTAGGTCATATATGCTGGGCATGGCAATTTAACATTTTACCAATAAGCGGTGGCAACTGAACAACAAGATATGACATTTGGACATCAAATCAATAAACGGTCCTCTCTAGAAGATGAGCAAGATGTAATGAATATTGGACATCATATCAGTTACAATACCTTTTAAAAAATATGGCAATTTAGTAGACATAATGATTACATGTCATTAATTATAACGCCAAAATCAGCTTTAAAGTACATGTACATGTATGTCTTTTTTATATTCAGATCGCGGATCTACTTATGTAAGATGGGGAAGAAACGTTTGCCCGGATGATGCCTCCTTGATATATAAAGGTAAAGTGAATATGTTGTATGATAGTTCAGGCATGTCATGTGACACTTTTATGTACAATAAACAAACGGCTACATTGGCAACATTACATTTAAATTTTTATTACGACAAAAACATGACATGTCTATTGCCACAAACCAAAATGTCGCATACAATATTTACAAAACATAAATAAAAATGCAAATACGCGTCCAATATACGTGTGAAATGTATAAATTACAAGAAAATACGTACGATTATGTTATGAAACTATAATTCTATTATGTGGTGAAATTTTGGTAATGATAATATATGTAAATTTAGGAAAATTTCTGTATTTTGTATTTTGCGATTTGCATAAACATTTAATTGTATGCAGGGAAGTATTTTTTTTTTTGGTGCAAATGAGCAAGTAAACAAAGATGATGTGTTTTGAAACCTCATTCAAATTGCATTTTCAACAAAGCTGGGACAAAAATGACTTTATATTTTGTTCTAGAACAAAGTCACATAAATACAATACACGTACTACAATACAATACAGTACAGTACAATACAATACAGATATTCTGTATTTGATAGTCATGGGGCATGATGAGTGAGACGTACATATTTTATAGATTGTCTTATTTCTTTTCTTTTTTTTTCATCATCAAGAAAAATGTTGAAGACATTGTGTTCATATTTGTTTTTGGATGAATACCCTTTATAGTCAAAACGAACATTATAATGGTTACATGTATTTGTTTAATTTGCGCACCTAACAAACATTGTGAATACAACATTTAGTTATTTTTAAAATATATCTTAGAGGAAAAAAGTGAAACTTAAAAAAAAAATTAACAAATGTATTTATTTTCTCGTTTTTACCAGGCTTTGTTGGAGGGAAATACTACAATGAAGCCGGAAGCGGAAGTGATTCCATATGTTTACCCGAAGACCCCACGTGGTCTAATTACACCGATGGTGATGCTAAATGTTGTCGCGGACGTATATACGGATCAGAATTTCATATTGAGGAGCCAAATGGCATTTTCCCGTACGGAATTCATTCGCAAGACGCACCGTGTGCAGTTTGCGAGTCCAAAAAGTCTACAATATTAATGATTCCGGCACGTTCTAACTGTTATCCGGGCTGGAAACTTGAATATTCAGGATATTTAATGGCTAACTACAAAGGTCATGCAGGACCGCATAATCATATTTGCGTCGACAATCATCCTGAATTTATCTTAAATGGAGGTGCATATAATCTTCAGCATATTTTGTATCTCATGGAAGCGCAATGTGGTTCATTACCATGCCCACCATATGTGCAAGGACGTGAACTGGCATGTGTTGTTTGCTCAAAGTAATAGAAATATCAAGCTGGCATCACTGACATTTTGTAAGAAACGAGCAAACATTCTTGTATATTTCATGTAATATTCAAGACAATAATTATATTACTGGGCAAAGTTTCTCTTTTTTAGTTTTCCCAAAAACAGACTATTAAGTATGGCCATTTAGCTTGGGTGCAGGCGTGTTCTGTCTATTAACTTGAAAAATAACCATTAAATAGGACTTCAAGAGCAAGACCGCAGCCGGTCGTGTACCCTCCGTTATGATATCCGGTGGTACCTAGATGAAATGTCTTTCTGTGGTTCTGTTTACGAGTTTCTTAATTGTGTTTGTTTGTTTATCTTTTAATAAGACTAAAATGCTATCATCTATATGTTTCAAAAGCTTTTTCTTTTTTGTTTCTAGTTACAGTTGCCTGATAGAAATTATTCGTGAGCCATATTTTTTTGTAATAAATGCATAAATAAATAATTCTATTTTTAAAATATTTTTTTAAAGTATTTTCTTAAGAGTGGCTTTTGTGTTCTCCTTATAAATCAAACATAATGATCTTATTTGTACAAAATTCTCTAGAAAAAAAAAAGAATCTCGCCGCCAATTTTCATCCTTAGATAAATGAATAGATTTGTTCCGAAGTTACCTCATCGTAAAACTGAAAGCCGTTTTTCATTCACTGCTTATGCACCTTAACATGTGCCCGTACAATTATGGATTCTGGAAGTCAAAAAGAGAATCTCACCTCTGGCAATACTAAGTCCAAAGACCTTCGGAGTGGGTCTCCACCTCCACTTCTACTGTAGACACGGTTTGCTTTTTGCAGGTTGTAGTTGTTAGTGTGTACATGAATATCATGTCAGTATTGTAAAGGAATGACTTGTACTTGAACATTTTTTTTGTACTGTTATATTTATTAAACATCTTAAGAGTTGTGTTTACTCTACCAGGTCGTGAAAATACATGACAATTGTTAACAAATAAATTTACCTTTAGTTCTGTCAGACTTATGCCTAAGAAAAGAGATTGATATTCTATGGCATGTGTAAATATCTGGTAAAACGTCATTTATTGACTTGTAACAACTGTGGAACACCAGCGAGAAGTTTTCGTTTTTCCTTTAAATTTATCACTATCAGCGGAAGCTTGATTAATGAGCAAATGAATCATATAATTAACCTAAAGGTGTTATTTAATACCAAAAACTAATGTTATTTATCAAACTGGACTTTATATGGATTACTCTGAATACGTAACGGGCTACAGAAAATATCTTTTGAGGCAGAGATTATTTGAAAAATAGGACTGTCAAAACTTGTTAACAATACGCCATTGAAGGTCAAACAAGCTCAGCTTGGTTTTGCAACGAAATTACATAGAAACAGGAGCGAGAATTTGATGAAAAAGTATAAATACCTTATTCCATAACTTTTGAGCCCAGTTTTACAATTAAACGAAATTGCTTTATGAATATTGGAACACATTTTTGTTTACATGTCGAACTTAAGCATTTACAAGGCAGAACTTCTTAGCGCATTGTTACGAGGAATACGAAAGCTAAATATTTTATTTACTAGAATGTGGTATTATTATTAAATAATACCTCCGATAACTATTGCATTAATACTTTTATTCATTGAGGTTTATTTTTACAAAGAAATTGAAACTTTCGCACAGACTTT